TTGTCGTGGAATATTCTAATCAAGTGAGATAGACTTTGTCATTTCTTCAAACAATCATCTTTATTTCATATCAATTTAATTATTGCAATAATGAAGCTGGTCGACTGCACACTCTGAAGTGTGTGTTGCCGAGAGCTTAAACTCGTACAGAGAATACCGGGTCTTTATATAGCAGACCTAAAAATGCTTAGTCATGGCTGGTTCCACCCCTCCCATGCAGATCGGGGGCATCATAAGCCACCTTTGGTTCATCTGGTGGTTATCTACACAGGGTGGTATTTTACCCCTCCAGGCTAAGTTTCCCAGATGCAAGGATGAGAACAAACAATGAAATGTTTGTTCCACTCCTCCAGGCTATCTGTATCTCGGTCACACCACATCTTGTCTATGGAATGCAGGCTGTAGCCATCATCAATCAATTGTCAGCTCAAGCTATCTCTAGTGACCACACGCCCAGATTAGCTGGAGTGGAGACCTTCCCTTTACAAAATCACAGCATTAGTAGCCTCCCTGTAGCTCGGTTGGTAGAGCATGGCGCTTGCGGGTTCGATTCCCACGGGGGGGCCAGTATGAAAAATGTATGCACTCACTAACTGTAAGTCGCTCTGGATAAGAGCGTCTGCTAAATGACTAAAATGTAAAATGTAGAACAGAGATGTCTTACTATTTGTTAAGTATATAATTAACTATTAATATCAAACAAGGTAAATATGTACTTTTTCTCTCACACTTTCCTACTATGGGAGATAGTAGATTGACATAGGCTGATATCCGACGCGTCCATAAGTAAGTTGAATTAAATTGTCAAAATGATATAGCCTAATTAGCCTACTTCTGTCTATACAGAAATAAATAAAATCATTCAAAATAGGTTACTGAAGCCTGATTTGGCCCCAGGATCATTAGCTTCTGTAAAAATATTGGAATGTTGGTTGTTGTAAATCACATTTCCTACGGTCGGAAGGAAAGGCAGCGCGTGGCAAATACCAAATAGATGATTGTTGAGTTGCGACCGTCAGTGAAAAGTTTAGCGGCCCAGCCAGGCATATCACAATATTTCAAAATGAAATCGCAGGAAAACATTGTTCGAAAAGCAAATGGCTGCTGCTGTAAAGAGAAGACAATGAAACGACTAATCAGTCTTTTAGTTGAGCGAACAACAGTATCTTATTTTATTTATTTATGATTCATTATATATTTTTTATATATATATTTGTTTTTTCTTTCATTATTATTATTATTTTTAGTCATTTAGCAGACGCTCTTATCCAGACCAACTTACAGGAGCAATTACGGTTAAGTGCCTTTCTCAAGGGCACATCGACAGATTTTTCACCTAGTCGGCTCGGGGATTAGAACCAGCGACCTTTCGGTTACTGGCACAACGCTCTTTAACCACTAAGCTACCTGCCGCCCCGTTATTGGCACCAGAAGAGTGAGTGCACACTGCGCATATTCACTCTTTATCACTGTTGGATCAGTGCCATTTTAAAAGTTAGTTTTTGGACAATCATTTCCTCCTCCAGTTTAGATGGAGGTCATATTCTATCTGTGTCTCCCCTTCTCCTAGCCCTATTATATGGACAACGTTGTTTTGATTGATCTGTTATGTCAGTATCAGCAGAGTAGGCTACCCTGTCATTTGTTGTATTAAAAATGATTCCGCTAACGTCTCCAGTCATATGAAGTGGAGTAGAATTGCATGTAATGTGTTTAATAAAATAAAGAAGAAATGTATCTGATATAGCCTATTGCCCAGGCTTCTACACTGCACACGCTCAGACATGTTTTTGCTACCAGTGATTGAGTTATATTATTAGCCTAAATGATGACTGTCCGATCTACTCATCATATTACGAATAGGAGGCTGTCTTACAATATGTCTGCAAGTGCCAGGATGCATGGAATGCTTTTTCATAATGGTGCGTTTTTATGGTGAAGAATGTGCTTCCCCCCCCCAACTCAAGGGCCTGTGCATAGGCTAGTGATTGTGCTGTTCGTTACTCGTCTCGTTGGCTGAGGAGAAGGACATTTTGGACTGTTATTCTAACATCTTCAAAGTGCGGGAAGGACGCACGTCGTTGCATCCTCGACTTGCCTGTGCTGTTAATATGAAATTACCATCATCTAAAAGTGATTTCTGTCATTGTGAGCATCGTGGGTGGAAGCCCTAATCAGGTTACGCACCCAACGTATTTCTCAAATGTCCGGTAAATTAAAATGCTGCCGGTCAAATGTCCGGTTCCACATTTTCATTCATGGAAACCCTGCTTAGTAAGTGGTGACAGTAATGTTTAATAGTGTTATTGTAGTGTGTGTGTGTTATAGTGACATCTCTCTCTTCTCTCTGGTCAGTGTTCTCCGTGGCCTGATGCCTACGTCAGCTCTCCCCAGACAGCTGGCCCCTCCTTCACCTCCACACCTCTCTCCACGTACACTGCCTCCTCCGTACCCGACAGGTGTGTGTGTGTGTGTGTGTCTGTGTGTGTGTGTCTGTGTGTGTGTGTGTGTGTGTGTGTGTGTCTGTGTGGACATAGTGAGATAATACTGACTGTGACTGTTGTATTCCAGTGGCTCCTCGTCGCCCAATCACCAGGCAGACCCTGTCAGCCAAGTCGTCACAGAGGTCAGTATACACCGCTCTCTCTCTCATGGACGTGTCTCAAATCCTGTAAAGACTTCTCATTCAACACCTGCCTTCAGTTTGGATTGGATAACACACACACTCCCTTTCTTCTGTCTCGCTCTCTCTCTCCTCTCTCCCCTCTCTCCCCTCTCCCTCCCCTCTCCCTCTCTCCTCTCTCCCCTCTCCCCTCTCCCCTCTCTCCTCTCTCCTCTCTCCTCTCTCCTCTCTCCCCTCTCCCCTCTCCCCTCTCTCCTCTCTCTCCTCTCTCCTCTCTCTCCCCTCTCTCTCCTCCTCTCTCTCTCTCTCGCTCTCTCCAGCAACTCAGTCCTACAGCTACCATCCAGGAGACTCAGAAGTGGCTTGTCAAAAACCGCTTCAACACCTACGCACGACTCTTCTCCCACTTCTCAGGTACCCACTCTTTCCCTGGTCCCTAGTGTAGCTTGAGAGTCATTAAACCAACCTGTTGTGTAGCTTGAGAGTCATTAAACCAACCTGTTGTGTAGCTTGAGAGTCATTAAACCAACCTGTTGTGTAGCTTGAGAGTCATTAAAGCCAACCTGTTGTGTAGGTTGAGAGTTATTAAAGCCAACCTGTTGTGTAGGTTGAGAGTTATTAAAGCCAACCTGTTGTGTAGGTTGAGAGATATTAAAGCCAACCTGTTGTGTAGGTTGAGAGTTATTAAAGCCAACCTGTTGTGTAGGTTGAGAGTTATTAAAGCCAACCTGTTGTGTAGGTTGAGAGTTATTAAAGCCAACCTGTTGTGTAGGTTGAGAGTCATTAAACCAACCTGTTGTGTAGGTTGAGAGTTATTAAAGCCAACCTGTTGTGTAGGTTGAGAGTTATTAAAGCCAACCTGTTGTGTAGGTTGAGAGATATTAAAGCCAACCTGTTGTGTAGTTGAGAGTTTTAAAGCCAACTGTTGTGTAGTTGAGTTATTAAAGCCAACCTGTTGTGTAGGTTGAGAGTTTTAACCAACCTGTTGTTAGGTTGAGAGTTATTAAGCCAACCTGTTGTGTAGGTTGAGAGGTTATTAAGCCAACCTGTTGTGTAGGTTGAGAGTTTTAACACCTGTTGTGTAGGTTGAGATTTTAAAGCACCTGTTTGTAGGTTGAGAGTTATTAAAGCCACTGTTGAGAGTTATTAAAGCCAACCTGTTGTGTAGGTTGAGAGTTATTAAAGCCACCTGTTGTGTTGTGTAGGTTTTGACTTATTGAAGTTGACCTGTTGTGTTGTGTAGGTTTTGACTTATTGAAGTTGACCTGTTGTGTTGTGTAGGTTTTGACTTATTGAAGTTGACCTGTTGTGTTGTGTAGGTTTTGACTTATTAAAGTTGACCCGGGACGACCTGGTTCAGATCTGTGGAGCTGCTGATGGGATCAGACTCTTCAACACACTAACATCCAGGTAGGGGTGAGAGGGGGGGAGGGGGGAGGGAGGGGTGGAGAGGGGAGGGTCGGTGTGGGGGGGGAGGGGGGGTGGGGGGGGGTTGTGAGGGTGGTGTGAGAAGGAGGGGGTGTGAGAAGGAGGGGGTCGGGTGTGAGAGGGAGTGTGTGTGGGAGGGAGGGAGGGAGGGAGGGGAGGTGTGTTTGTGAGAGAGGGGGGTGTGTGTGAGTTCTGGTCTGTCCTGAATATTTATGTTTTTTATTTGTAATAAATTAGCAAACATTTCTAAAAACCTGTTTTCGCTTAGTCATTATGGGGTATTGTGTGTAGATTTCTGAGGATTTTTTATATTTTTTATCCATTTTAGAATAAGGCTGTAACGTAACAAAATGTGGAAAAAGTCAAGGGGTCTGAATACTTTCCTGATGCACTGTATATACCTCCATCACTCCAGTATCCCTGCACATTGTAAATATGGTACTGGAACTGACCCTGAATAGAATGCTTTCTAACTAACTTATTGTGTTCATAGTTCCTATTCTTATTTCTCCTGTGTTTTTTCTAGTATTATGTTGTTATTCATTACTGCATTGTTGGGGTTAGAGCTGCAAGGCATTTCACTGTACTTGTGCATGTGACATTAAAACCTGATGTGTGTGTGTGTGTGAGAGAGAGAGAGAGGGGTGTCTGTGTGGTGTGTGAGAGAGAGAGAGAGGGGTGTGTGTGTGAAACAGTGTGTTTGTGTGTGTGAGCGAGCGAGAGAGGGACTGGGTGTGAGAGAGAGAGAGGACTGGGTGTGAGAGAGAGAGAGGGACTGGGTGTGAGAGCAAGAGAGGGACTGGGTGTGAGAGCAAGAGAGGGACTGGGTGTGAGAGAGAGAGAGGGACTGGGTGTGTGAGAGAGAGAGGGACTGGGTGTGTGAAGAGAGAGAGGGACTGGGTGTGTGAGAGATAGAGGGACTGGTGTGTGAAGAGAGAGGGATCTGGGTGTGTGAGAGAGAGAGGGACTGGGTGTGTGAAGAGAGAGGGATCTGGGTGTGTAGATAAGGGCGGGTGTGTGAGAGAGAGAGGGCCTGGGTGGTGTGAGGAGAGAGTGGACTGGGTGTGTGATAAGAGAGGGACTGGGTGTGTGAGAGAAGAGAGGGACTGGTGTTGGAAGAGGGAACTTTCTGGGTGTGTGAAGAGAGAGGGACTGGGTGTGTGAGAGAGAGGGGACTGGGTGTGTGAGAGAGAGAGGGACTGGGTGTGTGAGAGAGAGAGGGACTGGGTGTGTGAGAGAGAGAGGGACTGGGTGTGTGAGAGAGAGAGGGGGACTGGGTGTTGTGAGAGAGAGAGGGACTGGGTGTGTGAGAGAGAGAGGGACTGGGTGTGTGAGAGAGAGAGGGACTGGGTGTGTGAGAGAGAGAGGGACTGGGTGTGTGAGAGAGAGGACATGGGTGTGAGAGGAGAGAGGGACTGGGTGTGTGAGAGAGAGGGACTGGGTGTTGAGAGAGAGAGGGACTGGGTGTGAGAGAGAAGAGGGACTGGGTGTGAGAGAGAGAGGGACTGGGTGTGTGAGAGAGAGAGGGACTGGGGTGTGAGAGAGAGAGGGACTGGGGTGTGTGAGAGAGAGAGGGACTGGGTGTGTGAGAGAGAGGGACTGGGTGTGTGAGAGAGAGAGGGACTGGGTGTGTGAGAGAGAGGGACTGGGTGTGAGAAGAGAGAGGGACTGGGGTGAGAGAGAGAGGGGACTGGGGTGTGTGAAGAGAGAGAGGACTGGGGTGTGAGAGCAAGAGAGGGGGCTGGGGTGTGAGAGAGAGAGGGGATGGGTTTGTGTGAGAGAGAGAGGGACTGGGTGTGAGAGAGAGAGAGGGACTGGGTGTGTGAGAGAGAGAGGGACTGGGTGTGAGAGAGAGAGAGGGACTGGGTGTGTGAGAGGAGAGGGACTGGGTGTGTGAGAGAGAGAGAGGGACTGGGTGTGTGAGAGAGAGAGGGGACTGGGTGTGTGAGAGGAGAGGGACTGGGTGTGTGAGAGAGAGGGGAGGGATGGGGTGGTGAGAAGAGAGGGACTGGGTGTGAGAGAGAGAGGGACTGGGTGTGAGAGAGAGAGGCACTGGGTGTGTGAGAGAGAGAGGGACTGGGTGTGTGAGAGAAGAGAGGGACTGGGGTGTGAGAGAGAGAGGGCACTGGGTGTGTGGAGAGAGAGGGACTGGGTGTGTGAGAGAGAGGGACTGGGTGTGAGAGGAGAGAGGGACTGGGTTGTGAGAGAGAGGGGACTGGGTTGTGAGAGAGAGGGGACTGGGTGTGTGAGGGGAGAGGGACTGGGTGTGTGAGAGAGAGAGGGACTGGGTTTTGTGAGAGAGAGAGGGACTGGGTGTGTGAGAGAGAGGGACTGGGTGTGTGAGAGAGAGGGACTGGGTGTGTGAGAGAGAGGGACTGGGTGTGGAGAGGAGAGGGACTGGGTGTGAGAGAGAGAGGGACTGGGTGTGAGAGAGAGAGGGACTGGGTGTGTGAGAGAGAGAGGGACTGGGTGTGAGAGAGAGAGGGACTGGGTGTGTGAGAGAGAGGGACTGGGTGTGAGAGAGAGAGGGACTGGGTGTGTGAGAGAGAGGGACTGGGTGTGAGAGAGAGAGAGGGACTGGGTGTGTGAGAGAGAGGGACTGGGTGTGTGAGAGAGAGAGGGACTGGGTGTGTGAGAGAGAGAGAGGGACTGGGTGTGTGAGAGAGAGGGACTGGGTGTGAGAGAGAGAGGGACTGGGTGTGTGAGAGAGAGGGGACTGGGTGTGAGAGAGAGAGGGACGGGTGTGTGAGGAGAGAGAGAGGACGGGGTGTGTGAGAGAGGGGATGGGGGTGAGAGAGAGGGGATGGGAATGGGGGGGGGGGGGGGGGTGTGAGAGAGAGAGAGAGAGAAGGTGTGAGAGGATATGGGAGTGTGTGTGTGTTTCTAACATGTAACTCAGATTTGCCAGTTCTTGCTGTGAGATGTTACCCCACTCTTCCACCAAGGCACCTGCAAGCTCCCAGACATTTCTGGGGGGAATGGCCCTAGCCCTCACCCTCCGATCCAACAGGTCCCAGACGTGCTCAATGGGATTGAGATCCGGGCTCATTCGCTGGCCATGGCAGAACACTGACATTCCTGTCTTGCAGGAAATCACGCACAGAACGAGCAGTATGGCTGGTGGCATTGTCATGCTGGAGGGTCATGTCAGGATGAGCCTGCAGGAAGGGTACCACATGAGGGAGGAGGATGTCTTCCCTGTAACGCACAGCGTTGAGATTGCCTGCAATGACAACAAGCGCAGTCCGATGATGCTGTGACACACCGCCCCAGACCATGACGGACCCTCCACCTCCAAATCGATCCCACTCCAGAGTACAGGCCTCGGTGTAACGCTCATTCCTTCGACGATAAACGCAAATCCGACCATCACCCCTGGTGAGACAAAACCGCGACTCGTCAGTGAAGAGCACTTTTTGCCAGTCCTGTCTGGTCCAGCGACGGTGGGTTTGTGCCCATAGGCGACGTTGTTGCCGGTGATGTCTGGTGAGGACCTGCCTTACAACAGGCCTATAAGCCCTCAGTCCAGCCTCTCTCAGCCTATTGCGGACAGTCTGAGGGATTGTGCGTTCCTGGTGTAACTTGGGCAGTTGTTGTTGCTATCCTGTACCTGTCCCGCAGGTGTGATGTTCGGATGTACCGATCCTGTGCAGGTGTTGTTACACGTGGTCTGCCACTGCGAGGACGATCAGCTGTCCGTCCTGTCTCCCTGTAGCTCTGTCTTAGGCGTCTCACAGTACGGACATTGCAATTTATTGCCCTGGCCACATCTGCAGTCCTCATGCCTCCTTGCGGCATGCCTAAGGCACGTTCACGCAGATGAGCAGGGACCCTGGGCATCTTTCTTTTGGTGTTTTTCAGAGTCAGTAGAAAGGCCTCTTTAGTGTCCTAAGTTTTCATAACTGTGACCTTAATTGCCTACCGTCTGTAAGCTGTTAGTGTCTTAACGACCGTTCCACAGGTGCATGTTCATTAATTGTTTATGGTTCATTGAACAAGCATGGGAAACAGTGTTTAAACCCTTTACACTGAAGATCTGTGAAGTTATTTGGAAAGTTACGAATGATGTTTGAAAGACAGGGTCCTGAAAAAGGGGACGTTTCTTTTTTTGCTGAGTTGATATGTATTCCTGCAGGTCGGTGCGTCCCAGGTTGACCCTCTATGTGTGTCAGGAGTGTGAGGTGTATAGCCCCCTGCTGGAAAGATGCTGTGACAGCCAGAACAGAGAGCGCGGTGACCCACCTAATTTATACGGTGTGTGTGTCTTTGTAGTTTTGTGTGTGTTTATGTTTAAAGGGCCAATCTGCAGTTTTCACATCCATTTTACGAATTTTAAATCCTTATCAAAATATACGCTTGTTTTACTCAGAATGTTTGCAAACACTGTTTAGCCTGAAAACATGGTTAAAACTATCATTTTGATCTCAGGGATCCTTGAATTCCTCCAGCCCCTTTTCTCAGCTATTTACCAAAACAGTGGCGGGGTTTGAAATGCAGATTGCCACTTTTAAATATACTGCATATAGTTCATCAGAAAAAGGGCAAAGCGCATGTATAAACATAAATGTCAATGCTTTAAAAAAAGAAAATAGAAACTAAAGCTGAAGGACTCTGGGAGGACTCTGATTTGCATTCTACTGTATACACCTCTATGTCTCCATTCTAGAAGAGTCAGCATGTCTGTGTTTTAACCTGTGTGTGTGTGTGTGTGTGTGTGTGTGTGTGTGTGTGTGTGTGTCTGCAGTGTACCATGCTCTGTACCTGGAAGAGCTGACTGCGGCTGAGTTGATCAGGAAGATGGCGTGTGTGTGTAGCGTTCCACTGGGACAGATCAACCAGGTCTACCGGCAAGGACCCTCAGGAATACACATACTGCTGAGTGACCAGGTACACACACACACACACACACACACAGTTCAGTGACCAGGTACACACACAGTTCAGTGACCAGGTACACACACAGTTCAGTGACCAGGTACACACACACACACACACACACTGTTCAGTGACCAGGTACACACACACACACACACACAAACACACTGTTCAGTGACCAGGTACACAAACACAAACACACTGTTCAGTGACCAGGTACAAACACACACCTCCTGTGTGGATGTTATCTTTGACCAGGAAGAGGTGGATTTTCTCTGTCCTTCAGTGATCTGTCCATCAGGTGTTTGCACTTAATTGACATACTGCCTCTGTGTCCCACCCTAACCCTTCCCCCGTCTGCCTACTCAGGAAGTTCTGGGTGCACCATTCAAAACACTCCCCCAACCAGACTGCACATCACAGCTAGTGGACATGTCTACCCGTTTTAATGATTTGATACTGTGTCAGTATAACCCTAACATTACTGATTCAATTCTAAAATAGATTTCTTAACAGTCCTTGTTTTAATGTTATTCCCCCCCAGATGGTTTACAACTTACCTGACGAGAGCTGCTTTCTCATCGGCACAGTCAAAGGTATGTTGATAGTCAGACATTTCTGTTATGGTCAAACGTTCCTTTTCTAGTTGTGTGTTTGGCCTCAATGCTAACACTAGCTCTTATTTCCCTCTCTCTCTCTCTAGATGAAACGGGGGAGGGGCTCCACCAAATGGGGGAGGGGATTCACCTGGTTTTGAAGTAGTGATAGAGGATGAGAGCGCGATGACATCACTCAACACTCCTCCCTCCGTGTGGAGGGGAGCAGCCTCCCTCCCTCCCTCCATCCCTCCCTCTCCCCTGTCGTTCAGATTGCCATGTGTAAGGCAGACGGACAGAGAATGAACTGAACTGCAGCCATGTTAATGTTAGAATCTGACGCGGGTGTGACCACTGTTTCATATTGAAAACACTATTACTGAGGAGGGGAGGGGACAGAGCGGGAGACTTGGCATGTTTTTGTTTGTTTATTCTTTAATTTTTATATTGTACCAGGGGATGGAGGCTGCCCCCCACAGAGTCATATAGGGGATGGAGGCTGCCCCCCACAGAGTCCTATAGGGGATGGAGGCTGCCCCCCACAGAGTCATATAGGGGATGGAGGCTGCCCCCCACAGAGAGTCATATAGGGGATGGAGGCTGCCCCCCACAGAGTCATATAGGGGATGGAGGCTGCCCCCCACAGAGAGTCATATAGGGGATGGAGGCTGCCCCCCACAGAGAGTCATATAGGGGATGGAGGCTGCCCCCCACAGAGTCATATAGGGGATGGAGGCTGCCGCCCACAGAGAGTCATATAGGGGATGGAGGCTGCCCCCCACAGAGTCATATAGGGGATGGAGGCTGCCCCCCACAGAGAGTCATATAGGTGATGGAGGCTGCCCCCCACAGAGAGTCATATAGGTGATGGAGGCTGCCCCCCACAGAGTCATATAAGGGATGGAGGCTGCCCCCCACAGAGAGTCATATAGGTGATGGAGGCTGCCCCCCACAGAGTCATATAGGGGAGGGAGGCTGCCCCCCACAGAGTCATATAGGTGATGGAGGCTGCCCCCCACATAGTATCATATAGGTGATGGAGGCTGCCCCCCACAGAGAGTCATATAGGGGATGGAGGCTGCCCCCCACAGAGAGTCATATAGGGGATGGAGGCTGCCCCCCACAGAGAGTCATATAGGGGATGGAGGCTGCCCCCCACAGAGAGTCATATAGGGGATGGAGGCTGCCCCCCACAGAGAGTCATATAGGGGATGGAGGCTGCCCCCCACAGAGAGTAATATAGGGGATGGAGGCTGCCCCCCACAGAGTCTCATATAGGGGATGGAGGCTGCCCCCCACAGAGAGTCATATAGGGGATGGAGGCTGCCCCCCACAGAGTCATATAGGTGATGGAGGCTGCCCCCCACAGAGAGTCATATAGGTGATGGAGGCTGCCCCCCACAGAGAGTCATATAGGGAATGGAGGCTGCCCCCCACAGAGAGCCATATAGGTGATGGAGAATGCCCCCCACATAGTATCATATAGGGGATGGAGGCTGCCCCCCACAGAGTCATATAGGGGATGGAGTCTGCCCCCCACAGAGTCATATAGGGGATGGAGGCTGCCCCCCACAGAGTCATATAGGGGATGGAGGCTGCCCCCCACAGAGAGTCATATAGGGGATGGAGTCTGCCCCCCACAGAGTCATATAGGGGATGGAGGCTGCCCCCCACAGAGAGTCATATAGAGGAGGGAGGCTGCCCCCCACAGAGAGTCATATAGGGGATGGAGTCTGCCCCCCACAGAGGCTCATATAGAGGAGGGAGGCTGCCCCCCACAGAGAGTCATATAGAGGAGGGAGGCTGCCCCCCACAGAGGCTCATATAGAGGAGGGAGGCTGCCCCCCACAGAGAGTCATATAGAGGAGGGAGGCTGCCCCCCACAGAGAGTCATATAGGTGATGGAGGCTGCCCCCCACAGAGGCTCATATAGAGGAGGGAGGCTGCCCCCCACAGAGGCTCATATAGAGGAGGGAGGCTGCCCCCCACAGAGAGTCATATAGAGGAGGGAGGCTGCCCCCCACAGAGAGTCATATAGGTGATGGAGGCTGCCCCCCACAGAGGCTCATATAGAGGAGGGAGGCTGCCCCCCACAGAGGCTCATATAGAGTAGGGAGGCTGTCCCCCACAGAGGCTCATATAGAGTAGGGAGGCTGCCCCCCACAGAGGCTCATATAGAGTAGGGAGGCTGCCCCCCACAGAGGCTCATATAGAGGAGGGAGGCCGCCCCCCACAGAGGCTCATATAGGGGATGGAGGCTGCCCCCCACAGAGGCTCATATAGGGGATGGAGGCTGCCCCCCACAGAGGCTCATATAGAGGAGGGAGGCTGCCCCCCACAGAGTCATATAGGGGATGGAGGCTGCCCCCCACAGAGGCTCATATAGAGGAGGGAGGCTGCCCCCCACAGAGGCTCATATAGAGGAGGGAGGCTGCCCCCCACAGAGGCTCATATAGAGGAGGGAGGCCGCCCCCCACAGAGGCTCATATAGAGTAGGGAGGCTGCCCCCCACAGAGGCTCATATAGAGTAGGGAGGCTGCCCCCCACAGAGGCTCATATAGAGGAGGGAGGCTGCCCCCCACAGAGGCTCATATAGAGGAGGGAGGCTGCCCCCCACAGAGGCTCATATAGAGGAGGGAGGCCGCCCCCCACAGAGGCTCATATAGAGGAGGGAGGCTGCCCCCCACAGAGGCTCATATAGAGTAGGGAGGCTGCCCCCCACAGAGGCTCATATAGAGGAGGGAGGCTGCCCCCCACAGAGGCTCATATAGAGTAGGGAGGCTGCCCCCCACAGAGGCTCATATAGGGGATGGAGGCTGCCCCCCACAGAGGCTCATACAGGCAGCGCTGTAATGCAGGACTGAGGTTCAGACAGACAGACAGTCGGAGTGAATTAGACACTAGTCTGAGACTCGACCACACCCACTTCCACGGAAGCAGAGCAGGCAACTAACAAACTCAAACAAAAAAGACTGTCTAGAACACAAGTCGCGGTGTGGACGTTCTAGAACACAACAGTCTCGGTTTGGACGTTCTAGAACACAATAGTCAAGATCTGAACGTTCTAGATCTGGTCCCAGACAGTCTAGAACTAGTGAGGAGGGGAGTCCTCTTAGCCATTCAAGTAATGATTTTGTGGACTGTTGGAGCTCTTCGACACTGGCTAACAGAATGCCAACAGAACCAGGTCTGATACCAAAATCTACCCCAGCCTATTTCAGAGCAGGACCGGCGATCTCCACTGAAGACCCTGCCTGCATAGACATGTCTAAGCATCATGGATACCGGTGATCTCCACTGAAGACCCTGCCTGCATAGACATGTCTAAGCATCATGGATACTTGTTTCACTTCACTGAAGTCTCTTAAATTTCATATTTTAACTGTCGCTTTTAGCGTTTTTAGTTTGTCTTTTGACTAAGGCAGTTTCTTTGTTTGGCTGTTGTGTGAGATTGTCTCTGGTGCCATACTTCTCACTGTTCGCTAGGGTCAATTCGATTTTTCTCACACACACATACACACACACAGACACACACTTACACTGACTGTAATAGACTATTGACATGTAGGAGAGTGGGTGAGGAGGAAACATCTCTAGACTATTGAGATACAGTCCCTAGTCGGGGCAAGGTGGTTTAAATAAACTCACTATGAAATGGACCAAACTGGTTTTGGATGCAGTAGATGTTAGAATCAGGGAGTGTAACCAGGGGGCTCATCCCAGGGGCTCATCCAAGGTGTGGCCTTCCTTCACCCCTGACAGGATGTGCAGGAAACTGTGTTCTTAGGTCTGTCACTGGCCGTAGTTAGTCCTTGACTACTGGCAGTGGAAGTGTGTATGTGTGTGTGTGTGTGTTTATATTTTTTCCCCCCTAGCAATTGTTGCAGACACTAACTTGGTTTGATCATTTCAGTAGTTATCACAGCTTTTCCTCTTGGCGTGAACCCTGCTTAGTTTTCATTTTAGTCAAGAGCATGAGGTTGGGAGGGGGAGGAAGGAAGCTATATTTTTTGGGGGTCCGAAAAGAAATGTAGCCCAGTCCTTAAAACATTTTTTCCATAAATAAAATACCAAGTCTGCACTGAAAACCACAAGTCCAACTTGATAGTTTGTGAACCACACCCTTCATGAAACCTGGGAGAAATAAAGTGAATATTATTAACAACATTGACGTGAAACTGAACATAACCTGTCACCTACTTCAACAACACCAGGAACTGTTTAGGAGGGTGCGTCGTTACAGAACGTTCAGATGTGATTGTCTGTCAGATAGAGTAGGAGATCATGTTGACGTCGTTACAGAACGTTCAGATGTGATTGTCTGTCAGATAAATAGAGTCAACATGATCTCCTACTCTATTATATTTCTATCTGCAAAGTTTGGAACATTTCACGTGACTGAATACACCCCAGCTCTACAGACCTGGGTCAAACAGAATGCTGGGTGCGTTTCAAACAGAAATGTGATGAAAAGTTTTCTCTTTCATCATCACTCATTTCCAGCCGTTCCTCTTTTCGTTGGTCCACACTCTGGTGGGGGGAAATCTATCTAGCCTACCATTTCTCTTTTATTTATTTATTTTTTATTTATTTTTTGTTTGCTCCTTGGTATCTGATTGGTTGGCACGAGTCCCATGACAGGAAGCTGTGGTACTCTGGGTGAACGGCAAAAAGGTGGTGATGGTGTTTGTAACACCGGGTGTGACGGTCCAAACATTGCGAAACTCCCCAAGTTCAGCTCAATCACGAGTCCCATTGTTCTGAGATGAAAGAGAGAAACTCCCTTCTGCTTGTTTTTCTCTCCATGGAAAGGAGACAACTCACCGAAACCTGAACGCTACATTTCCTTCAGCTACAGGACTTGAGAAGAATGGCGTGCTTGAGAGTGAGGAATCACGTTTCAGAGTGAGACAAAAATGTACAGAGAAGGGGCTTAAAAAAAAGACGTGTATGGTGTGTACTACAGTGTGATACTTGTCCTAGTTCTACCTGTGTTCCCTGTCTCTGTGTTCTCTGTGTCTAGGTGAGGAGGTGATCACTGTTTGTACAGCCTACAGTTAAACTGAATATGCACACACGTCTGTACTGGAAATAAAGTTATTTCATAAATATGGTCTGTGTTTTATTTATATGATGATGAGGGCCGCATACCAAAACCATGCTGTGAATGATGATATTTACAAATTGAATAGAAAACGTGAATAGATTTATTCAAAATAATGCAATTTTCTGTCTAAATATAGCTCTAAATGTGTGCATACCATAGCATGAAGAAAAACCTGTCTAAATCACTTTAATAATGTTTACATACTGGTTTACCCACTTCAAAGTATTCATACCCCTTTACTTTTTTCACATTTTGTTGTGTTACAGCCTGAATTTAAAATGGATTAAATTGATATTTGTGTCACTGGCCTACACACAATACTAACCTAAATGACCCAAGTGAAAAGAAGGAAGCCTGTACAGAATAAAACA